GGTTGGAATCAGTACAGAGACGATTTACACTTTGAATTCTTGGAACTCATTGTACCTTAACTTATAATTCCAGATATAATAAACTTGGACTCGACCCTTTATAGAAAGGGTGACTTAAGCTAAATCCAATCTTTGCTCATCTGAAAATGCATTAAATGTTCTAGTCACCTGTAAGTGTATCTTATTCCACAAGTTAGATTATAGGAACTTTGAATGTTTAACTATTCTTATTAGTGAATTCCCTAGGTAAACTCACCTACCTGCTGATACTTTACATTAACACCGTCTCTGGCAACCTTAATTAATCTGAATAACATTTGACATGAACAGTATATCACCGAGTCATATGACATATACATTATGGTAGAGTTGATTGACATATTTGAGTAAGTATTGCTTTGTTGTTCCATACTCTCTGTTTCCATTTTACTTTCTCTAGTTGTAGATAATTATCATTCATTCGATCTGGCACAGGAAATGATCTTAATTACATCGTTCATAAATCAACAGGCTGTCCATTTAAGAAGAATTGAAAGTCTCCGACTGATACATTACATTGCTGCTAAATACATGTTATAAATGGATTAGTTGAAGTTAGACATTAACACCGTTGAATGCCGGCTCAGTGATCTAGAGATTAAACGTTCTCACGCAATACTGATAGATCTTAGGTTCGAATCTCACGAGGCGGGATTGTGGAAGTGAATTGCCAAGGAGGAATCCCGTAATAAAACGAAACAGCCATCTAATGCTTCCAGGTTGTCTAGCTTCAATTAAATCATGATCTCAACCATTAAACTTACTATAATATTCACAAAACCCCTTCTGATAAATGTACTACTCAAATAAGTTTTGAACTAGTAAACTTAAGACATTCTTATATTTACATGCCTGTTCTTCATAATTATTGTTCGTTTTATATCGAATATTACTGATGAATGCACTACTGACATGTTGTCCACTTAATTAATTTGATAAGCAGAATAAAATGAATTCAAAACTTTTGATCGGCTATATTATGTTCGTTAACTTGAATGCTACTACTTTTTCGTCTTACTCGGAACGGAACGAAGAATCAAGGATTCAGAGACTCGATAAGCTATACTGATCCGTTTTCCCCGACTTAACTAACTCGATCCAGAAGTCTTCGTAAGATGTAGAAAGTGTATTCTACCGACAACCAGAAGATACCAGGTCCATCAAGCACACAAATCAAGCGTATTAATACAAAATACATATAATCGATATTGCCATGCAAGTTTTTAAGCATTTAATCAATACGTTCGTCAATCGACTATGTGCGTGGATGGTAAGAAATGTTCAAGCATACATCTGCATACAAGCTCCACAAAGATAAAATTACAAAATATGAGTTTTTGGGATCTAACGTCCCCAACGCTCCTCCCCTTTTTAGTAGCGTGAGTTCCTGGGGTCGACCTGTATCTTGACTGTTGCTCGCCGCTGTCAGAAAGGCCACCGTCTGGAACGTGTTTCAGCTTGTTGTTGAGGTTTTTCTTGTGGTGGAGATGCCGGTAGATTGAATGTGTCTAGCAGGATATCAAGGGGAATATTTGCTTCGGTTGATGGGTGGTCTCGCGCTAGCCGTTTGAGCAACTGATTCCGATGGCGTCGCCACCTGTCGCTGCATACCTCAACTTCATACATGCCTTGGCCAACTCTTCTGACCACTCGTGCTTCCGTCCATGGACCATGGGTTGGTCTGTAGTCACAGGCAAACACAGGACATCCCACTTCGTACGTGGGGATCTAACGTCCCCAACAGGCTACTTTTAAAAATTGAGTCTATTTGCATATGATAAAAAACTTTCAAATAGAATGGTCAGATTTCTGCTAACACAATATAAGGTATATGTTTTCAAAAGGAGATTTTGTGGAGATTGTAGCAATTTTAATAGTTGAATTCATGAGCCAATCGAAGCTAGACAACCATGGAAAACTTGTAATTATTGGACGGCCGTTTCGTCCTATTGTGGGACTCCTCAGCAGTGGGCATCCATGATCCCGCTCGCGGAATCCGAACTCAGAGTCTTCAGCTTTGTATTAGCATAAGATATCTCAGTAATACTGATCTATCATCCAACTAAACGGTTTCGAACTTAGGATCTTCATAATCTCAACTACTTCACACTACACTACTTAGCTGAAATCTAACGTTGTATATGTTTGAATTAAATCGATTCACATTATTGCGCAACCAACTATTTCACACCCGAACTGATTGGAATCCGATGTTAAAATTTTTATTATGTTTAACCATTAACCTTTAGAATGACCTTGGTTTTAATAATTTGTCTGTTTAACTAAATTTTACCAAAGTTTCTGTATTTCATTTCAACGATATGAATAACAATCCTGGTTGTGAGTATTTTTATCAGCCTAACTAGCTTACCCAATATTCTTTATATATGTACATAATGGTAGATAATGAAGAAACTGATACATTGAATCTGGCAAATAACAAATGCGCATGACTGACCAGGAAATGGTATGTATATCTACTGAATGGCACATAATTTAGTGATGACTTGATTATATATAGATATATGTTTTTCATTCAGTTGGTCATTAAGCATTCTTTCTCACTTGAATATCCGATTGCACTCGTCAGTCAGTCAGTAACAACCAGGAAGTTCGTACGTTCGCATTTTTATCACCTTAGCACAGAAATACAATTGTCAACTCAAATCCCATTGTGGTAGAGATAGTAAGAGTATAAGCAGTAATCATAAAAATTAGGGTTTGAAGATGTTATTCAACGAGTATAATCCAGTGAAATAAATTTAGAAAGAGACAAAAAGAAAGGGACATGAAGAGTTCTCAAGATTAGAATTTGTGAGAACACAAAGAGTGGATGCACGTGCTTCATTATAAACAATTTTGAAGCCATGTCATCCAAGGTCTCTAACCATCGTCTCGCCGTTCCGAACCAGGTAGTCTACAACACCCAGCATGGCTCAGTCCACTTCTCAATGACTTCATAGATTTGTGCCATGTTTTGATATGGTCGCCCCTAGCTTTCTTCCAACCTACTCTTTCTCCATAAAACATCGCACGTCGGGGCCGTCGATGGTTGAGCATACGTAACATGTGCCCCGGACATCTCAACTGACGACGTTTCACTACCTCATCGATTGATTTACCTTGCTTAGCCAATACCCGTTTCCTAACAACTGGATTACTTACTCGATGGTCCCAGGTATATATGAGCAATGTTTCGAAGACACCTATGGTCGGATACCAGTAGCCTATGAATTTCCTGTACTCTTACCAACCATGCTTCACTGCCATAAAGTAGGACGGAACACTTTACTGCACAATAAACTTGTAAAGAGTATCAATGAGTATCAGTATTGTCACTATTTTACCATGTGTCACAAAAGAAATAAATGATCAGTATCTTCACACAAATATACATAATTATATAAATTCTTAGTTTTTTTTTAGGGGGGTGGGGCGCAAATTCACTTTGAAAATTATGCGGTTAATTTAAAATTTTGCTCAAATCAATTTTCATATTACACTTTTACTCAATTTCTTTCCTCTCTCTTTTTTTCTTTCTTCCTTTCTTTTCTTTTCTTTTCGTAACAAGTTGAACATCACCATAAACAGAACAGTAAATAAAACATTATCAATCAACCAATCAATCAATCAATGTATTTTGACTTTAATAAGAAATGTGAAAAAGAAATGAAAAAGAAAAACAAAAGAGAGAAAAGTGACAAAAGGAAAAAAAATCGTCATGACCTTTTCATTTATATTCAACAATATATACCTCAGTGTCTATTCTCTGGCTTGTAATAACAGTAATAGTAATAATAAGAATGATATATGTAACTTTAGAAATTGTACTATATTGTAAAATTTCGCAGTATAATGACTAGTTACAAACGTGTGTTTATGGGTGTGTGTGTGTGTGTGTGTGTGTGAAAGAGTGACAGGGAAGGGTTGATGAAAGAGACAAAGATGATATTATAAAGAATGAATTAGTTGATCATAGATAATGATAGATGTTTACATTTATTTATGAATCAGTTAATCAGTTAGTAACAGTGTAGAACTTTGTATGTACGTACATCGGTTTGAGTTGTCATACCACATTAGCATAGAGATACAATTGTCAATTCAAATCTCATAATGATAGAAATAGTAAAAGTATAAACAGTCATCAGAATGATTAAGGTGTGAAGATATTATTCAAAGAGTATAATCTAATGAAATAAATATAGAGAAAAGAATTTAGGAGAACATAAAGATTGAATGTATCTATGCAATTGTAAATGATTTCGCTTCATTTTATTTAAAGTTTCTAACCATCTTGAATAGGATTGTTAAAGCAAGGATTGCATTCCTACAATTGAAGCACATATGGAACTCAAAACAACTGTCTGTCAACCAATATCAAAGTCACAATCTTCAATACCAATGTCAAGGCAGTTCTACTATACGGAGCTGAAGCCTGGAGAACTACAACAACCATCATCAAGAAGGTGAAAGTATTCATAACTAGTTTTCTACGCAAGATACTCAACATCCATTGACCGGATACCATCAGCAACAGCCTTCTCTGGGAGAGAACAAACCAACTTCCAGTTGAAGAAGAAATTAGGAAAAGACGATGGAAATGGATAAGACATACATTATACAAATCACTAAACTGCATCACGATACAAACACTAATTTGGAATCCTGAAATGGAAGGGGAAAAAAGTAATGCCAAAGAACACATTACATCGAGAAATAGAATCAAATATGAAAAAGATGAATAACAATTGAAAAGAGCTAGAAAGGATTTCTCAGAATAGATTTAGATGAAGAATATGATGAGAGGCTTATGCTCCTTCACGAGAAAAAAAAATCCCAGGCTTTATGTAATCAATCAATACAGATTTGAATAACAAGTACTAGTAGGTGACCTATTCAAACATCTTTATGAATAATTTTTTTTTCTTTATAAAAGAGAATAAACAATAGAAAAAAAATCAATATGTAATCATTTCCTTAATGATTACATAATCAATTTTTTTATTGATTAATACAACATTTATATAAGGCACAATGTGTATATAAATGTTTAATATATAATCGATAAATACGATACCCCAAAATCCATATAGAATTGTATCTAATATTGCACTAGAATAAGAAAATATACTTGTATATGGTAACCATGTATATAAATAAGATTGATATTGATTTTTATAATAAGTATTATATTGTAACCATTGTATCATTAATATAAATGATCTTGGTCCACGACATATAATAAATAATAATAATAATATAATTAATATACGTAATGTACGTTTATGTTGTCGTCTTAATACTTGTATTAATATAGATTCATCAGTAGTAGATTTTGTATGCAATAAATCTGTTGTACGTGATTGAAATAATAAATTCAATATATCATTACTACTTTTACGACGTTTTTGTATTGTATACATTGTAGATAATTTATATTTTGATTCATTGAATCGATAGGATGATGATGTTGTTGTTGTGGTGGTGGTGGTGGTGGATGATGATGGTGGTGGTGGTGGTAGTGAAGTTCCTGTTGATGTTGTCAGTTGACAATTATTATGAGTAGTATTATTATTAGTAGTAGTAGTAGTCCAATAATCTTTTAGATGTTAATGTCTTATTAGAATTATTCTCATACAATTCATTATAGGATTGAATAATTGAAATACTGTTCTTCGTTCATTAATAAATATTTTTGATTATTATCAATACTACTATTATTTCTATGATATAATGATGAATTAGTTGTCATGGTAGTAGTAGGAGGAGGAGGAGGAGGAAGAGGGGGAGGAGGACTATTCGATAAATTTTTAATCGATGAATATTGATAACTATTCTCATTTAAATCAATAAAAGGAACTAAAAGTGTATTTTGTTTTTGATTTTTTAAATTCGATATTGATTGTTTAGTTTCTAAGTGATCATTTATAGATTTATTGATTAATGTACTATACTCCTTAGATGTATTATCATTATTATTATAGTATTAGTAGTAGTAGTAGTATTGTTGTCGTCGTCAAATTTAATTCGAATATCTTGATTACTACTTTCAAGTACACGTAATAATGGTATTGGAAAATTAATAGTTGTTGTAGTTAATTTTCTTGACTTGGTGAATTAATTGATGAAACTGATGTACCAGATATAAATGATGATTTACTAGTATTACTTGATTGTCTAGAGAAAAATCGTTATCTCTTGATGAGACCTATAGATGAAAAAAAAAAATAAAACCTCAAGTGAAATCATTTGAAAATATTGATTGTAACGATTGAATCAGTTATATATACTTAGTTATTCAGTTAGCTAGTGCTTAGTTACTTAGTTACGTACTTGGTTACTTTCTTACTTAGTTACATACTTACTTGGTCATTTACTTAGTTACTTGGTTACTTAGTTAGTTACTTAGTTATTTAGTTTAACGAGGACAAACCTAAAGTAACAGGACGAAAAACAATGTCTGGCGCTTTAACCAGGTTAGTGGACACGGAAAGTCTACCTAGGTGAGTTGGAAAACCGTCATTCCAAATCAATGGTATACATGACCTCCAGTATCCTGATGGGAAAAATGGCGTATGAACGAATCGTTAGTCATCGGTTACTATGGGACTCGATATGTGGCCCTCTAAAAAAACCCACCTGTTTTGGTTTAGTTATATTTTATACTCATTGGTAATAGAATGAAATGAACTATTATGCAATATCAGTATAGGGTTTTTTATTGAGATCATGAACGGATTAATGTTAGATCACTGTTGGAAACTTGGAAGTATTGGACAGCCGTTTCGTCCTATTGTGAATCTCCTCAACAGTATGCATCCATAATCCTATTCACGGGATTCGAACCCAGAGCTTTCAGTGTCGCACATGTAAACACTTAATCAACTAATTCTTTTAGTTGGCAAATAGTTATTTCACTTATATTTTTTTTGATTATTTACATTATAAATGAATTAATTAAATAAATAAAATGGAATAATAAAATACCAAATACAAAATGTACTTTATAAAGTCATAATGAAAATAATAAGATAAGATAATGTGTACATCCCCATATTGACTTATAATAGTAAAGAAGACGAAGAAGGAGAATAGGAGGAGGAAGAAGAAGGAGATTAGAACAATTTGTATGTATATCAGATTATTCGTGTTATTTTCATTTTGGATGATAGAAGATTGTTGTTTTTCATTTGATTATACTATGACCTTATTAGAATTAAGTACTTATATTATCAAGTTATTATTATTATCATTATTATTGCAAGCAAGTGGCTATCAGGACTCAGTAGTTAAGTGGATAATGTGATGATGTTTGAAATGAAGGATACAGGGTTCGAGTCTTAGAGTCAATATCAATTGGTGAGATGCAGGCACGTGCAGCTGACCAGTGCCAAATAGGAGGAGACGCGCCTCCTGCATTCCACTGCTAACCACCATCCATGATTGCTTACAATGCTTGAGAATTATTGGGACATCTAGGCAATACGCACAGTATACACATATGTCAATAAGCGATCTGATCAATTGCAGTGCCAAATATCATTGGAAGATTCAAGGGAACATATGCCAAGGGAACAGGGTTTCACCAACTTCACCCCATGTGCACAACAAGTGGCTGTGAGGACTCAGTAATTAAGCGGATAACGTGATGACGTTTGAAGTGAAGGGTACAGGGTTCAAGTCTGAGAGTGAACATCAATAAGTCTGGAATGAAGGTATATCCAACTGACGAGTCCTAAATAAGGCGAAATGCATTTCCTAGATTTTACTGCTAACCACTATCCATCTTTACGTATAATGCTTGTGAGTTAAGGCAAAATCAAGGCAATATAAACAGTATGTACGTATTATTAGAAGGGGTTTTATGTAGATTTTAGAAATTTCACTGATTGAAATCATGAGTCAATTGAAGCTAGACCACCATGGAAAACCTGGAAGCACTGGACGGCCGTTTCATCCTAGTATGGGACTCCTCTGTAGTGCGCATCCACGATCCCGCATCCCGCGAGATTCGAATCTATCCAGTGCTTCCAGGTTTTCCATGGTGGTCTAGCTTCAATTGACTCATGATTTCAATCAGTATGTACATATTTCAATAAGAGATTAATCAATTGCAGTCCAACAAATCAATAGGAAGATTCAGCTAAACAACAATACCAAGTGAATTGTATACAGAGCTTCAGTCAGTTAATCAGTCAGCCAGCTACAATGTAGGACCAGGCAGTTCATACATTATTATCATAACAAAAATGTCAAAGGCCGTATTACTCTATACATACTATTATTTTGTTCTAATGAAGTATAAAAGAAAAATATGACCCGTTATGCAATCTGTAACCCTTACGAAAAATTGTTTATTTTGAGTTTTAATCCAATATGTTTTTTTTAATTTTAAAACAAATAAACACAATTCTCTATGAAATCATGAACTAATCAATGTAGACCACGATTCTGTACGGTGGATGGGATTTTGACCCAGAACCCTAGTGTTCATCTATGAACATTAATATCTAGACAGATGAACCGGTGTCAATGTCAAATTTCAACCAATCCACGATGTCATACAACTGCGGTATCCCATACTGAAACAAACTGTTTGTCCAGTGCCTTCAAGTCTTCAATGATGGTCTATCATTGATCGGTTCATGGTTTTCATGAAATTCAACGATCTTTACAACACAAAACTGAAGAAAAAGTTTTGTTATCTTAAATGGTAGATATTATTTCACGAGTAACAATTTTTAACTTCCATATTTATCCAATTATTATTTTCGCAAATTATTGTAACACACATTTCTAATTTTAGCAGTGATTTTCAGTGATTGTAGACAGTTGATAAGGAACCCTGTTTCCCTAAGCATTGGACTAGTTGGCTTTAATTAGCAAGGCATAATTATAATATTGAAGGAACAATCAGTCCCATAAATTTGGAGATCATTTCACTTAGTTCTACAGTCTGGTACATATAATTGAGCTACTCTGGGTATATAACTAATATTCTCTAAGATAAAGATACCTATGATTACTGGTCGTTAAGTAATGGACAATGTCGTGTCCGTCTAGCCACTAGTGATGTGCGTTCAATTTCTACTGAAAGCTGCAATCGTCCTAAGAATGTCGACAAAACTTTGTATGAAGCTTAGATTCAGCGGGATTTCCTGAAAAAATACCTTCAACGTCTAACATAGAAGCATAGTGCTTGTGATATCGAATCATTTTGAATCATCAAACAAAATAGAAATATCCAGTACAGATAATCTTCTTTTCGAAGTTATCAATAACGAGAATTATACAATCGTTGAGATGAGATGATGGTTGAAAGTAGTCAACAAGAAACCCTGGACATTTAATCTTCAGGGAACTGACTGTCCATGACGGACTCGATTCCATGTCACAATCAGAGATGTTCACACTGGGCTATCAGGGCCGCGACCAACCTTCTGTAGGACTGAGATGTATTCACAATTGATTGGTCACTGGATGGTGATCAATGTCATGCTGAACAGATCCTTCATAGTGCGGATCAAATACTATCGACCATGTTGTGATATGGCTACTAGTTTAGGTGACTTGGTTGATAGTAGTCGATCTTCACTAAGGCCCCCTGAATGCCCTGGTACGGCCGAGAGTGGGGAGAGTCCGCTCTCCCTCTCGAAATACTCTCACACGGCCACGCGTATATAGCCTCTGCCAGGGAAGTCCTACTCATTGCCTTCTCGTGGCGGGGGTGTTGTTTACGAAAATGAGAGGACGAAAAGCGAATGTCCGGCGATTTAACCGGATTCCAAACCAATGGTGCACATGGGCTCCAGTATCCTGCGGGAACGAATGGCGTATGAACCAATCGTTGGTCACCGGCTACCATGGGACTGCATCTCCTTACGATGCTCCACTGCCTTGTGGGTTAGACCTTTAGGTCAAAGGCTCGGGGAGTGGCCCCCTAAGATAACCACCTGCTTCGGTTTGGGCACCCGGGCAGTATCACAGCCCACACACAAATGATGAACTCTATGTCCATGGAAATTACCTTTGTCGCTTTGAAAAACAATCAATTGATTCAAATTATGATCACTACAATTATTGTCATTATTAATACTAATATTATTATTACTACTATTATTGTCATTATTGTTATTATTATCATTATTATTATTATTTTCCACATTATTCACCTTCTTTTATACTTATACAGCGGCTCGTCTTTGGTGGAATTCCGACTGTATCTAAACGTTCTCGAGTCACTGTCCGGTTGAAAATTGTATGTTACCACCGAATACGAGGACTGAAGCAGATTTTCTGAAACCACGTGCATCATTCAAACTGGCTGCCTTCAACGTTCGCACATTTATGCAGGTCGGACAACAGATAGGGCTGGCTATGTCTTTGGAAAGTCTTAATATCGACGTGTGTTGTCTATCCGAGACCCGTATTCAAGACTCTGGCGAAGTACTACAAATTCGATCTCCATCTGTCGCTTCGAAAAGCTTGTTTTACGTGCGCTTATCCGGGGACCCTGTGGCATCTTCGTCTGGTTTTGCTGGCGTTGGTGTCGCACTAAGCGCTAGAGCTGAGGCAGCACTAGTCGATTGGATCCCCATTAACAGTCGGTTATGTGCTGTTAGATTAGAAAGTTCCATCAAAGTGAGAAGATATCGGCGTGAGAAACGATGTCTTTTCGTCATCTCCGCCTATGCCCCGACAGATTGCAGCCCGGATGCAATCAAGGATGAGTTTTACCACCAGTTATCAGTTCTTCTCCAGAAAGTGCGTTCGACAGATATTGTAGTACTAGCCGGAGACTTGAATGCTCAGGTCGGGCGTCTAGGCACAGAAGAGAGTCGTTTAGGTGGCCGATGGGGACTCGTTGGTCGCAGGTCAGATAACGGGGACCGTCTACTGCAACTTTGCGCAGACCACAACCTGTTTCTGGCTAGCACTAACTTTCGGCACAGTCAT